CCCCAACTGACACTACCAGTTTATAACCAGTAATAAGTATATAAATTTGGAATAGTTTAACTTAAAAAAATATATTAGAAATAAAAAAATATATTTTAATTGATGTTATAGACGAGCGGTCCACCCCTAAAAAGATACTTAGAAAATCAAGGTCACCGACCACGAGGAGGGGCCAGGATGAAACCTTTTGTAATCGATGCATTGAGTTATTGCGAACAAAAAACCTAAGTAACATTTTTGTCTCCAAGTGGCAGGTAATTTGTTATTAACAAAAAAATTGGAAAATAAAAATATTGCAAAAAAACGCTCTGCAAATAATTTTATAAAAAAATTGGGCAAAAATAAACACTTTTTGTCTCTTGATATTTTTTCGTGGAACGCTTCCTATTCGAGCTAGGGGCGATTTAAGGTCGAAAAATGGCTAAAAGTTGCCAACTTTAAACATTCATATCTCAACTCCTACCAAAGCTTTCGGAACGTTCAAAAGCGCAAAATGATCTTCGAGACATACTTTAATGTAGTATTTTTTTAAACCCATATAATCGAATAAACGGTATTCATTCATTACTTGTTACAATTTTTACTATTTAGTATTTCTAACACTCATACATATCTTCAAATTCATCAAATATTGTATATCATATAATTATTTATATGATTAATAATATGAATACGTTTGCAGAGCGTTTTTTGCAATATTTTTATTTTGCAACTTTTTTGTTAATAACAAATTACCTGCCACTTGGACACAAAAATGTTACTTAGGTTTTTTGTTCGCAATAACTCAATGCATCGATTACAAAAGGTTTCATCCTGGCCCCTCCTCGTGGACGGTGACATTGATTTTCTAAGCATTTTTTAAGGGGTGGACAGCTCGTCTATTATATGGCTCCGTTAATATTGGGTTTGGAAAAAGTATTATACCCAGTACCATTAATTTTATAAAAAGAAATCACTCCCTCAATTTTTTGTTCGTAATTTCCAGACACCCTGTAGTAAATATAAGAATGTTTAGTTATTAAAATTTCTTTAATAAGTAATTTATTTTGGAAAATTGATGAGCAACTATATCGATGAGCGAGGCACATATTAAAATTATATATCGTTTGTGTGTTTCTGTATGGCACTGCAATATACATATTTCCGGTTACCTACCTACATTTAATATTTTAGATTATTTTATTTTCCTCATTCTAACTCTTTCCTTTGTAATTAATCTTATTTTTGTTAACATTATTATTATTACAATGGCTATATTTTTTTGACTTTTCTGGGATTTTCTTCTTGCACTATAGTCTTCAGTTAACGTGCGTGATATAGCGATGTGTATTTTTTACATGTTTGGTTTTTTCAGTATCCCATTTTTGGCTATACTAGACAAAAATAGTAGGTACCTACAACTAAAGTAACCCTCAAAACTTTTGGCACAAAGGTTTCTTTAATTATTTTTAATATGAAAAAATAATATCAGGATCAGAATTTTAAAACGTGTTTTATGTTGTTCTGAAACTGTTGTGATTGCTAAATTCCTGCTGAAACCAAATAGTCTTCAAAATTTTTCCATCGCAGCATTATCTATGTGATAAAAGATTAGCCTGTACGAGACGAATGTGTGCCTGTATAGCAAAATGCAAAAAAGTTTAGCACGGAATTTTGTGAAGGTCCTTGACAAAACAGGTGGTGTTATTGAATACTTGAAAACTATCTTTTCTAATCTGATTGATGCCAAAATAAGGCATATTTGTAGGTCCTTAAATCAGAAAAGTTTTGAAAGGAAATTTTAAATCATAATTAAATCTCCTTGAATTGGCTGCCTGGGAATCATTTGTTTCTGTGGTGAAAGGATTTTTAAGCAATCATAAAGCCTACCTGCAACTGATAGCAGAACTTCTAAGAAACTATAAAAATTTAGGATCTCTTGTCACTGAAAATTCATTTCCTTCATTCACACTTGGATTTCTTCCTTGAAAATCTTGGTGATGAACATGGGGAACGGTTTGAACAAGAAATCATTATGGAGCAGATACAAATGAAGATGGGATGCAGGAATGATAGGTGACCATTGCTGATTTATTATAGTGCACGACCATACTCTTCATAAGAGAAGGTAGTTAATTGCATTGAAGTTATACTTGGTTTCTGTTTTTTTTTTGTATTGTCTTGCATTGAATGTTGTAATCTAATTAATTAGCTCTTCTTTGGTGTTTAATTTTGACCAGCAAAATTCAGACGTATATAAAAAAATATATTTATAAAAATTAAATGACCTTTAAATACAGTAAAAATATTCCACATTGTAGAACTCTCTGAGAAAAGGTTGAACAGATTACAGGGAACGAATAAAAAATTATAGAAAATACAATTCATACATATTTAAGGTGTTTCATTTAATAAAAATTATTTTTGTTGGTAACAAAACAAACAAGTAAATAATTCAGTTTCCATCAGTTTGTTAAAAACCTATTTTGGATTTATCAGTCTTTCATCCAATAAACTACAAGAAGTTTTACATGATCAATTATTGGCAAACCGTTGAGCTACCAACATTTCGATTAAAAATCTATTCAAATAAAGTAGATATACAAGGGTAACAGATGCTTAAACAATTTCTAGCACATTAGTTATTTGCAATTCATTTTTTATATTAATACACTTTATAGTAGGTACACACATTGTTTATTATTAAGGCATATGTTTATTTAATTCATATCGATGTTCGAAAGTAAATACTGAATAAAAATTAAACCACTAAAAACGTCCTAAGTTGGCTAATAAATTAAACTTGGTTGTATTGTGTTCAATTTTTAGTAAATTTTCAACAATTTTTGTATAAAACATTTGATGAAAAATTGTAAAAATGTAAGACAAGTGTGTTAAAACTTGTCTTACATTTTTAGCAATATTTTCTAGAATTTTTAGGAAGTACGTTTAAGGCATTCTAGAAGGTGTTCCAGAGAATGTCCAATATTAAGGTTCTTCACAACTGTTAAACTTCAAATTTTAGACTTTATCAAAGTTGATTTTATTAGAATCGTTTACAATTACCCCAACTGACCCTACCAGTTTATAACCAGTAATAAGTATATAAATTTCGAATAGTTTAACTTAAAAAAATATATTAAGAAATAAAAAAAATATATTTTAATTGATGTTATAGACGAGCGGTCTACCCCTAAAAAGATGCTTAGAAAATCAAGGTCACCGACCACGAGGAGGGGCCAGGATGAAACCTTTTGAAATCGATGCATTGAGTTATTGCGAACAAAAAACCTAAGTAACATTTTTGTGTCCAAGTGGTAGGTAATTTGTTATTAACAAAAAAGTTGGTAAATAAAAATATTGCAAAAAAAAAACGCTCTGCAAATAATTTTGAAAGATAAATTGGGCAAAAATAAACACTTTTTGTCACATGACATTTTTTCGTAAAACGCTTCCTTTTCGAGCTAGGGGCGATTTAAGGTCGAAAAATGGCTAAAAGTTGCCAACTTTAAAAATTCATATCTCAGCTCCTACCAAAGCTTCAAAAGCGCAAAATGATCCTCGAGACTTATACTTTAATGTAGTATTTTTTTTAAACCCATATAATCGANAATTCCTGCTGAAACCAAATAGTCTTCCAAATTTTTCCATCGCAGCATTATCTATGTGATAAAAGATTAGCCTGTACGAGACGAATGTGTGCCTGTATAGCAAAATGCAAAAAAGTTTAGCACGGAATTTTGTGAAGGTCCTTGACAAAACAGGTGGTGTTATTCAATACCTGAAAACTATCTTTTCTAATCTGATTGATGCCAAAATAAGGCATATTTGTAGGTCCTTAAATCAGAAAAGTTTTGAAAGGACATTTTAAATCATAATTAAATCTCCTTGAATTGGCTGCCTGGGAATCATTTGTTTCTGTGGTGAAAGGATTTTTAAGCAATCATAAAGCCTACCCGCAAATGATAGCAGAACTTCTAAGAAACTATAAAAATTTAGGATCTCTTGTCACTGAAAATTCATTTCCTTCACTCACACTTGAATTTCTTCCTTGAAAATCTTGGTGATGAACATGGGGAACGATTTGAACAAGAAATCATTATGGAGCAGATACAAATGAAGATGGGATGCAGGAATGATGGGTGACCATTGCTGATTTATTATAGTGCACGACCATACTCTTCATAAGAGAAGGTAGTTAATTGCATTGAAGTTATACTTGGTTTCTGTTATTTTTTTTGTATTGTCTTGCATTGAATGTTGTAATCTAATTAATTAGCTCTTCTTTGGTGTTTAATTTTGACCAGCAAAATTCAGACGTATATAAAAAAATATATTTATAAAAATTAAATGACCTTTAAATACAGTAAAAATATTCCACATTGTAGAACTCTCTGAGAAAAGGTTGAACAGATTACAGGGAACGAATAAAAAATTATAGAAAATACAATTCATACATATTTAAGGTGTTTCATTTAATAAAAATTATTTTTGTTGGTAACAAAACAAACAAGTAAATAATTCAGTTTCCATCAGTTTGTTAAAAACCTATTTTGGATTTATCAGTCTTTCATCCAATAAACTACAAGAAGTTTTACATGATCAATTATTGGCAAACCGTTGAGCTACCAACATTTCGATTAAAAATCTATTCAAATAAAGTAGATATACAAGGGTAACAGATGCTTAAACAATTTCCAGCACATTAGTTATTTGCAATTCATTTTTTATATTAATACAATTTATAGTAGGTACACACATTGTTTATTATTAAGGCATATGTTTATTTAATTCATATCGATGTTCGAAAGTAAATACTGAATAAAAATTAAACCACTAAAAACGTCCTAAGTTGGCTAATAAATTAAACTTGGTTGTATTGTGTTCAATTTTTAGTAAATTTTCAACAATTTTTGTATAAAACATTTGATGAAAAATTGTAAAAATGTAAGACAAGTGTGTTAAAACTTGTCTTACATTTTTAGCAATATTTTCTAGAATTTTTAGGAAGTAGGTACATATATATATGTTTTATTCATAGTGAATAGTTTATCTAAATATTTAAAATAATGGTTGTAATGTCTTTACCTCAGAAATATAATTGATTTGTGGGTTAAACAATTTTTTACTTGTAGTATAAACATTCTCTACATTATAATCAACAATTACAAAATAGGGTTTACTGGAGCTGACAATGGAAATGTACAGTAAATATATATATATTAAAAATTTCTTAATGGTAGAAATATTACAAACATATTTACATTTATAGAACTTAAAAGAATAACTACAGATGTCAATCTGAATCACTTTCACATTTCTTTTTTTGTTTTGTTTTCTTTTTATAATTGTCACTGTCACTGGATGAGTCATGATCATGATGTTTACTTTTCTTAACAGACTTCTTTTTCTTTGCTTTTGATTTTTTATAATCACTATCACTTGACTCGGTTTCAATTGGTTTCTTCTTTTTATTACGTCTGTTATCACTATCAGACTCTTCTGATGATGAATATTTAGATTTTTTCTTTTTATTCTTTCTTTTTTTCTTTTCATTTTCTTGGCCAGATTCATATTCCCTTGTATATTTATCTTTTGTACTGGACCTTTCTCTGGAGCTATAATTTTTGCTTTCTGGAGAGTATCTAGACTTACTTTTGTCTAAAGCTTTTATTATGCTTGACTGACTTTTTTCAACATATTTTTCGGTTTTTTCATATTTGTCGCTACTACTGGAGTCAGAGTTACTTGTTGTTTTATCCTTTGAAATATGTTTTTTTTTATGACTGTGTGATCCTCTTTCAGGAGATGTTCGAGATTTGACACTTTTGTCATATTTATCAGACTTATATTGTTTATAACTTTTCGAATGAAGTCTTTTAGGTGATACGGACTTACTTTTATTCTTTGTCCCTGTTTCTGCATCTCGATATTTTTGCCTGGGTGATCTAGACCTTCCCCTACTTTTAGATGAGCTGTAACGTTCCCCAATTTCTTTCTTGTTTCTACTTTTAGGGTCATCTGATTTATCCTTATTTATTTGTGAGTTATATTTATTTTTACTTCTGTCTATTATAGGTGATTTAGAATACCTACGCTTTCTTTCCGGTGACAGTGAAGGAGATTTCTGCTTTCTACTATATCTTGATTTTTTTAAATATTCTTTAACGTAATTGGAATTGTTTCTTTTTGGTGTCAAAGACCTTTCCCTTTCATATCTACGATTGCTTTTGTGAACGATAGGTGAATTGGATCGCTCTGCATTCTTTCTAGGTCTATTTTCATTGTTTTTATAGGATATATCATTTTTTCTATGTTTATAATTACCTTTGCCAATATCACTGTCAATGTTTTCGCTTTTTTTACCTTTTTCATCGTAATGTGTGACTCCCCGCCCTTTTCCTCTCCACTTTACTTTAGAGACACTCTGACTGAAGTCAACATGTATTCTTCGATCATCTATGAGCACATTATCCATTTTAAAATAGGCATTTTCACAAGCCGATTTGTCCTCAAATTCAACAAAAGCATACTGTAAAGAATCACCTGTCTTCTTGTCCCGAATAACTTCACAAGACTTAATTTTTCCAAATCGACTAAATATTATTTCTAAATCATCATCATTAGTAACTGGATTTAGTTTGCAAACAAACAGAACATTTTCAGGAGGTGCCGTTTCTGCATCGGGTAAATCTCCTACCATCTCCAAAATAGTAGCTCGAGCTTTTGCTTCTCTTTCTGCTTGCATTTCGGCTATTTCTTGTGGAGTTTTTCCTTCTAACTCGTCAATTTCCTCGTCTGGTGCTATTCGACCCCCTTTCAACCTCTCAGCACTCGGTGAGGGAGATCTTGATGAAATAACTAACTTTTTTGGATCTGGAAAGGGATCATCTAAGATAACGGTATGAGTAATTCTTACATCTTGATAGGGTCGATCGTCAGTATCACATATAACCTCATTTATAACTTCTAAAATATCAAATCCTTCAACGACTTCACCAAATACACAATGTTTTTCATCAAGATATGTTAAATCATCCCCAAGAGTTAAAAAAAATTGGGAACCTATCATACGGTCCTCATTTCCCACAAATGAAAGTAATCCCATTTTGGTATGTTTTATTCTTGGTTCGTTCTCACCTTCGAAATATCTTTTTTGTGATCCATATAAAACACCATATATTGATTCTCCTCCACTCCTAGAACCCGATGGGTCTCCTGTTTGTGCTATGAAGCTCCTGCTTATTGTGTGGAATAAGTTGTAATTGTAATACTTAATTTTGCATAATTTTAAAAAATTTAAACATGCTCTTGGACGATCATTGGTAAATAAATCCACAGTTATATCCCCCAGAGTTGTTTCAATTACAACCGACATCTTTTAAATTTTGTACCTACAAAATATTTGTAATGTACAATTAAATACAGATTGTATACCTAGTTTTCTTACCACTTATTAGAGTATCACTTCATACAGCAAATGGTTTTATTTAAATAATCTTTAATATTTTTGAACGTTTATATTTCAATAAATCATTTTTAAACATAACCTAGAACAAAAATCGAAAACGCAAAACAAATAGTAATTTGTTTTCTCTTATTCTTATTTCTTACTGACGGTTGGCAACATTGGTTTCAGACCATTGATATAATGTAAGTTTAACACCGCTTAGGTCATTCACTTGCAGAGGGCACTACAGTCGACGCCACATTTTTATTTGTTTTTGTTTTAGTATATACGTATATTCCATTGTAAAATGAAATAACTGATAACCACAGACTTCTAATTATATATATATTATTTTATATTAGAAGTCCCTCATTAGAACAGATATGCTGGTTTTTATTTCTACTCTACATGTTATCTTTCAAAATAACACTTTTTACTTATTATTTTACTGTTTATATATATTATTTATGACCGGCTTCATAATAAACTAATGTTTTATCTTTCGATTTAGAGGAGCTTTGAAATATATGGTCACAACATTACAACAATGTTGTTGGAACAACTTCAATGCTAGGAAATAAAAGGTGATTTCAGACTCTCTAGAAAACTATGATTTCAGATCCCATTATCATTTACTGTCATTACTGTCAAATCCATATGCTACCCTGTTGTGTCACGAGCAATGTATGTTGCTGTCTTTGATCATGGAGACTACACTAGTCTCCCTGGTAGTGTCCTCTAGACGTGGATAGCTTAACCGCTTTGTGTTGTTTGCTCTACTCTCTTGAATATTCCATAGTCAAGGAATAATCACTTTCCAGTAACCTCTGACACTGACCCACTACTATTGGTTTGTAAGATGGTTAAACTATGAAAGAAAAAATAGTTAAATTAAAACATCAGCCATTAAATTTTTATTAAAGGAAATTTAAATTTTTACATAATTGGTATATGTAAAACAACCTTGTTTTATAAAGGTTTTGGGGTGTTTCTAAATATTTCGCAATGCTTCGCCATCTATTAACAGGGATTAGAACTTATTATTTATTTTTGTCGATGCTGATAAAGCAATCCTATAATTTTGAGATCATCTGACGATTGCCGGACAGATCACTTTACATCTGTAAATACCCCTTTCGATTCATAGATTAAATATTTTACTTTTTCAAGGGTAGATGGGAGGCTATTCATTCTAGTTTTATTAGACAAGTCACTGCTACACAGTAAGTGACAAGAGAAATGAAGTGTGCAACTCGATAAATTTAAAATACAAAAATTATTTAAAAAATTAGGTGCACTGCATAGGGAATTTTGGATTTTTCCCTTATTAACTTTGTAAATTCAGACATTCTATTGGTAACTTTCTATAAGTAACGTCGGTAACAGTAATTGTGACCAAACTAAACTAAAAAAGTACAAACAAAATATCACAATGATGATTCACTTGATTTATTCATTTTTGCTTAACTTTGAACCAAAGACGTAGGAAGGGATACAAGTGGTAAAACTGTATAATTACCTGCGCAAAGGCTGCCGTTTTCCGCGACTGGGTGACTTCATTGAGGCAATTATTATTTTAAAACAGACTAAACATGTAAAGACAAAATGAAGATTGAAAAATACCAAATACGCCACTGTACTCTATGAAAAAAGTATATAAGAATTATTTAAACAGTTTTTAATTACCATCTTAAAGCAGCTGGTGGGCGACAATAGAAATCGGTCAAATTCGAAAAGTCCTTTATTAGTTTTTCCTACCTAATCCTGTTTAGTTTATACTTATAATTAGACAGCAGAAACTTTGTGGCGACTATCAAATAAATAAACAGTAAGGTATCAGGCATCGATCTTATTCAGGTATCTATATTATGCTAGTAAGCGGCAGTATGCGTTGTAGTAGCAAAAATAGGCAAAATCTATGGTCAAGCCGTGTGCTGTTCTATGCTCACGATACACAATGCTACTGATTGCCAAAAAAACATATGCCATGCACTCGACCAAGCAAAGCGTCAAACTCACACACGCACAAGCGACAATGAAATGCACGGCCAACGTCTCTTAGCGAAAATCCGGGATTGTTCACTGGCACGCCAGACCGACAAAGCAGACATTAGGATGCCGCTAGATACGTATCGAATAAATTGATCGATGCAAAGCTTCAGATTAGAGCCAGACATGTTCATATTATCGTACAATGACGCGTATAGTGGGATTAGTAAAATGTGAAGTAGTTGATGCTTCGTCACCATTAGTAAAAATATATAGCGTCTATTAAAAATCCCGACTATCTTGGATATGCGCCTGTGACCTCGGTAAATGTTGAACGGTATTTAATTTTTTTATGGGTATTAACAGATCGCCGGAGACAATTAATCGCAGAACACTTAGGACAACTGTTAATTATTTTCTATAATCAATAATCATTATTATTTTGTTAACTTTTGTTGGTACTTATTATTACTACAATTATTATCACTATACAGGGTGATTCACAACTTGTCTAAAAAAAATTTGGGATAGATGCGGCAAAAAAAATGGAGTCAATATCGTAACAATTTTTTTGTAAAATCCTTATAGTTTCCGAGAAAAAAATATTGAAGTTATAGTACTTTCCACCATTACATCGCTAGACAACTGTAGTCTCTAGAGTCTTTCGCTTGCGTGCTTTACGCAATGTGCGTGGAGAGCCACGTGACCCCAGCGACTTCGAATACTAAAATCCGATTTTACAATTAGTATTAACGACATTGCGATAGTATTTACAATAATTTTTCAGTAGTTAGTGTCAAAAATGTTTACGTGTATAGCAATTCGGAGATGATGGATATCGTTTTCATTTATGGTGAAGCAAGACAATATTTGTGTTATGGTGAAGCAAGATAACATTTGTGTTAGTTAGTAGAAACTGTGTAAGACGGATCCAAACGTGTTTACACGTCGGTGGACAAAATTTTGAACAGTTGTTGTAACATCAGGTATGCAAATTATTTTATTAAGTAAAACCACGAATTAATTTCATTAATTAATAAAAACAATAGCGGCAAAATCAGTTGAATTTGCTGGTATAAAATAAGTGTTATAAAATTCTGTTTATCTCTTTCCTTGCCAAATTCTTTCAAATTTTTGTCCGTTTTTATTACACTTCGCCTTGTGTAAGGTCAGGTTTTACAGTGTACCAGTTTCCAGTGCCGTGCAGAGGTGTATTTTTAAATCAATTTCGAACTGCCCTTTTTGATTTTTTCTTTACAAAATTGTATTTGTAAGAGTCCCCTGTACATCCAAAATTTTATTTTGGATAAGTTTTAAATCACCCTGTATATTTTATAGTAAAAGTTTTATGTGAAGCGTTTAATGTAGAAAAATAGGCACTGCCCTTTTTGTTTCATACTATTATGCAAATATACATGGTGGCCTAATTAAAACAGTCCACCTGAAATATTTTCAGTGCAACAGGTTTTTCCGGAAAACCCCGGAAACAGGTCGATTTTGCTTTCAAGGGGGACATCTTTTGATCATAAATTTATGAATGCGGGGTCATCCCCCTAAACGGGGTGGCAACCCCTTCAAGAATCTTAAATGGCACGGTGGGTTAACTGGCACATCATTTTAAAGGTATTCCTCTTTACAAACATGGTGAAATTTTTTTGTTCTGTCTTAAAATTAATGTGAATCTGTTGGAAGTGTCGATGAAATAAATCGAAAAAAAAAAGTTTTCAAACAAGTTTTCATTAATTAAGTGTTCAAATTGCGACCCATTTACTTCCATACAGTAATAAAACCTTTGTTCAACATTTTCCCGAACATTTTGTAGCATTTCAGGGGTTATTTCATCATATGCTACCTACAACTATTCGGTGGCGAAGATATTCTAAAGAAGTAGGTTTCGTTTTATAAATAACACTTTTTAAATGACCCCATAAAAAAGGCGATCTTGGGGGCCATTCAATTAAACCCCTTCTACCAATCCAGTGTTCGAGAAAATGTTGATTCAAAAAGTTACGTACAGGAGCTGCATAGAGTGGTGGAGCGCCATCATGTTGAATAAACACATCATTCTCTGGGATCTGATCGTCGTTTTCAAGAATCTCTACAATGCGAGGGTAGATGAAGTCTTGAAGCAAATTGAGGTAAGATTCACCCATCAAGTTATAAAGTTGGAAAAAATGGACCAATAATATTATTTCCCAAAATCCCAGCTCATATATTCAACTGGATTACTATGATTGCTGTTCTCTCATAACTCTCGTAACTTTTAAGAAGGAATGTGCATTCGTCAGAAAAGCATGTACAAAATTGGGATTGTTCAAAATTTCTTCACTCATCTGTTCACAAAATTGTAGACGTAGATCTGGATCATCTTCATTTAGCTCTTGCACGAGACGAATCTTATAGGAATGGAATTTATGCTTTTTCAAGATCATCTGAAAACTACTACATGGAATTCCTGAAGTTGCCTCTAATTTGCTGGTGCTTGAAGTGGATCCAGTTTAACATGTCTCAAAATTGCAACCTGTGCAGCCTCGTCAGTAACAGTGTGTTGCCTTTCATGTTTTTTGTTAACAAAGGATGCAGTCTCCATGAATTTAGATATTAAATTTATTATGTAGGGATGGCCGAGATTCTTACCGGGATGCCTTTCATTAAAAAATTTGCAGTTACCCGGGCCATTTCCTTATTTCGAAAATAGAGAGTGACACTTTTAATTCTCTGCAGCGGTGTAGACCATGATAATTTGAATCGTTTGCTTCAAAATAGCGAATAACAAATCAATGGATTTCACTACCTCTAGACAAATCTGATTGAATAAAACCCATCAGCTTATCAAGACTTCGATGATAAACCTTATATTTTACAGTTTTATTATCCGGTGAGTTTTTTAGTATAACTATTTTATGTCTTTTTCTTGATTTATTTCACCGACACTTCCAACAGGTTTTAAGGCAGAACAAGAAAATTTCAGCATGTTTGTAAAGATAATTGAAATATCTTTAAAATGTTGTGCCACTTAACCCCCCGTGTCATTTAAGATTCCTTAAGGGGTTGCCACCCCGTGTAGGGGGATGATCGTACATTCATGAATTTATGATCAAACGATGTCCCCCTTGAAACCAA